GCTTGCAAAGAGAAGACAGAAAATGAATCTCCCACATCAACAATTTGTGAGGGAAAGTTGGAAGAGAGTTCAGATGAAAGATACCCGATAGTCGAAACTAGTAGCTCTCCTTGGGTGAAGCAGAGTAAAAAGAAGAGTAACGAAAACATTGAGGCTTTATCCATAACTCCTGGAGACAGACCTATCATTGGAATGGTTGCAGCTCACTGGAATGAGAAAGAGCAATCTCAAATCTCACCCAAATGGTGGGATGGTAATGGGATACCAAACTCTACAAACAAATACAAAGAGGTACTCTCCTGTTTCTTTCAGAATCCCTAGGCTTCTTCACATTTCCTTTCATTTGTTATGAATACATGAGTTACTTTTTATATTGCAGGACCAGAAAGTGAGTTGGCACGCAACACCATTCGAAGAGAGATTAGAGAAGGCACTTTCAGAAGAAGGTGGTCAAGGTTTCATTCCTCCAAGGTATATATGTCTCTCTTTCCTTATGCAGTGGGAGATATGCAAATCGAAACGTGAATGCTTATGGTTTTGTTAGATAACACATTCACACTGAAACTATTTTGGGATTTGAAGATAGTAACCAATGATGCATAAACATGTTATTTTGCAGGAGACTTGGAACAGTGGAAGAGTCTGAAAGGGGCACAGCTATATCACATCTGAAACATTCAGCGCAATCTATGTCAGTCGTTTCCTTTTGAACATCGAGTAGTGTCCACTGAGGTAATATACTCTTTTGATCTTGACTAGTCTGTACTTGAACAAATATTTTAACTAAAACTCGTACCAAAAATAAAAACATAAGAAAATGTATAGAGTACCTAGAAATCAACACAATATCTATCTCAACTCAAGACCTACAAAATGGAAGTACTTAAGATACTGATGGTTTAAGTCTATAGATTATTGGGAACACAATAACATATGTGAAATAGACATACTACCACATGTATTCTTGTAGTTTTATTGTAGAGATTCTCTAAGATTTGAATCCACCATTATTTTCAGATCCTGAAGTGGAGCAATGGTGAGGTCCCATCTAGTCCTCTAGCCAAGTAATGTCTCGCCATCTCGGTCGTGGTTGTGTCTCTGTACTTGGGAGGGTTTTGTTCAGATAGAAGCTCTTTAATAGGTCCATATACTTGCTCATTTGGTATGGTGTGCATGAAGAAAGATGCGCTTGAAATGCGTGGTTCTTCGCCTCTATTTGCCAAAACCCTATGCTCCACACTTACAAACTTATCGTTTGTTATAAGCTGCAAGCAACCATTGAAAAAAAAAACGTTTTGAGATTTGTCAAAATATGGAAGATGTGATTGGTGTATTAAGTTTCTTTAAAACAAATCAAGAACGCAATTAACATTTTTGCCTGTAAGAGATCTCCGAGGTTAACGATAAGAGCTTCGGGATTAGGAAAAACATCGATCCAGTAACCATCATGGAGAACTTGAAGTCCTCCAATGTGGTCTTGAAGAAGAATAGTGATAAAAGATATATCTGTGTGTGAACTGATGCCAAAGGTTCGATCAGGCTCTGGACAAGGTGGGTAGTAATGGGAGAGCAACGACAAACTCTTTGCACAATTTAGCTCTTTAAGGTGGTTAGATTTTAAACCAAGAGCTTCTGATAAAAGCTCAAAGATTAGCTCTCCTAACTTCATCATTCGCTTCGAGTACTCCAACATGATTTCCCTGAAAATATTCACCACCAGAGGTCATTTATAAGTTAGAGAGAATTTTATATCCAAATCAGACATAATTTAATCGGTTTGGTTAACCAAACCAGACCGAATTTTCCCATTTTTCGTTTTTTTTTTTTTTTTTTTTTTGTTCTCTCTCTTTTTTCACCCCTTTTTCGTTTATTAGTTTCTATTTTAGGACTATTCTACCCAAATAATTGTATTTTCACTACAAAAAAAAAGATCATTTTATATCACTTATTTTGAATATTTGTATTACTTATAATTGATGTAAAAGAATTTTACATCACTTAAGTAAATGATTTAAAAATTAATGATGCAAATAATTTACATCATTTTGTTGACAACTGATGTAATTATACATAATATTTGCATCAGTTTGTATAATTGACGTTAATTTTGTATCAATTACAAAAAATGATGTTACCTTTTTAAATCACTTTGTATAAATGATGTTAATATTTTCATCATTTATAAATAATTGATACTAAAACTAGTGTCAAATTTCATTAGTGATTTTAATAATTGTAACATTTATAATAATTATTTTATTATTTAATAAGAAAATTATTTTAATTATAATCTTATTCTAAGAATAAATTTAAACGTCAACAATATCTTTCAAATAAATTATTTGACTTAAGTTTTCGTGAGACCACTACACTCAATTATTAGAAAATGGGTTAACCTATTTATAAAGGATAGATTCTTATCCCTCCTTAAGAAGTTGTCGATGTGGGACAATTTAAAAATGCCTCCTTAATACAATTTTACATCAGTTTTTATTGATATAAATTTTGTATCATTTAAAAAGTGATCTTAACAAAAATTAATAAATACATCAATTATCTAAATGATGTAAATTAATATTTACTATCAGTTTTTAAAAAGTGATACGAAATAATAGCTTTTAAATCAGTTTTATATAATTGATGCCAAACTAATTAATTATAACATCACTTAGTATAATTGATGCTAAAACACATCATTTATAAATAAATTATTCAAAATAATATCATTTAGTGAAGTGATACAATTTAAGTGATTTAATATGATCTTTTTTTTGTAGTGTTTCTCTTATGGTCTTAACTAATTATGTCGCAATCTCTATTTGGAAAACTTAAGAGATATAAAGAATCGTACCGACAAATCGCGGGTAAGTCCTCTACTTGTGGAACATCAGGAGCCATAACCGTAGTTAAAGTATCTCTCCAATTCGCAGCTTGAGAGCTATAGAGATCAAAATTAGTGTTATACTTAACCTTTTTGGTGATGTCACGACTATAGAACGTTTTCTTCACTTCTGAGTCCTGCTCATGAAACCCACGTATCCCATCTTTCATCTTATGCATCACTTCGAGTGGAATCCCATGGTTAATCACCTGAAAGAACCCGAACTTCTCAACCGCGTCTCTCACTTTCACAATCACGCTCTTTCGCGTGACCGTGGACTCGAACACGCCACCTCCAAGATCAATTGTTGGAATTTCTAACGTTGACGAAGGTTTAGGGTTTGTAACGGCAACATGCGGGTGATGGAAAATGCGTGGGATTTTTGTGATTCCGGCGTCTACAAGACCCTTCACGCCGATCTTCATCTCGTCAAAAGCTTTTACCTCACAGGCACGATCATAGTTTTCCGCCATTGTGTCTCTCTTTTCTTTTACAAGAAGGAATAAAAGTTGAAGAAAGAGACAGACTTGTGTGCTCCGTAATGTATTTTGTTGAATCAGAGGAATGTGAGCTCCCCGTATATATAACAACACAAAAGTATTTGGTGTGACAAAAAAAAAAAAAAAACGTATTTGGTGTGTGTGTGTGAATCATATGAATGGTAACAATTTATTTGCTCAACTTTTGGTTGATGTTTATATGTCATAAAACCCATGTGATACGTCCTTGAATCCATCTAGTGCCGGTCCTAAAACATGATGGGACCTTGTACGAAACAAAGTTCCCTTTTAATAATTCTAGTATATAGGTTTTTTTTTTTAATATAGTACAATTCTCTCTAGATTCAAACAACATATATTCATGAAACATATTTTTTCTGTCCTTTTATATATCAATCTTTTAGGACCGCATATTAATTATATTATTGTAATCTACTTTTTGAGTAGTACTGAAAAATATTTACTTGCAATATTTTTTTTATTGCACCCTGAACTACATGTTAGAGCTAGATCAAAGTTTTTGATTGATGTGATGTAGTTGTGAAAAATATTTACTTGCAATTTAAATCAAAAACTTTGATCTCCACGATTTGTTATAGGGGCCTTAAGCTTATTGCAAATGCTTCATCCGTGCTTACATAAGAACCAAATAAAATGGTTATCCGTTCGTGTTACACCGGTCTTGAAAAATGAAAATCTATTGCACGTGTTCAATGCATATAACTTTGTATCCATTACACCGGTCTTTTTTCTTTCCTAAGCTCGTATATAATTTTCTGTCATTTTCTTCTCTTGAGGCCGTCCTGCACCGTCCAACTTTAGTTTATGTTGTTATGTCAATGTTTTTTCTTGCTAATCTCAAGAGCTTACGATGATGCCAACTCTATGATAACTACCAAGTTACGTAACCTGTTGTGAACTCGGTCGTCTTGCCACATTCCTCTATATACTCTAATTAGCATGTTAAACGTTACCAAATGATCATTTCAGCAAATTACTTTACTTGGAAGCTCTAGTTCAAAACATTTTTTTTTTTCCGAAGCTATGATCTAGAAAAAAAAATGATCTAATAGTAGAATTAGTCGAGGGTTCATGATAAATTTAGGGCAGTAAGATTAATAAACGAAACAAAAATGATCTAGTGCAATGGGCAAGTCACCCCGAGTCTATAGCACAGTAGTTTTTGGACATTTCCGAGTGTAAAAGATCTTTTTGATTGCAGAGTTTGTGCGGAGTGTATGATAAAAGATCCGACATGTTATAATTTAAACTCCAAATCCAACTTTATAAAAACGATTAAAGCATCAAAATAAATTTATTTACATAAAGTTTTACTGGCTCATTTTCAATACGAGAGGTAACTTAATTTTCCGTTTGCATATTTTAACTAATATGATGAATTGGATAGGCTTTTTCTAGTTAAGTACATGCATCTGTATGCATGCTTCATCGGTCCTCATCTTAAGAAACTTGTCTTGAGACTAGCAAATCGATCTTAAATATATACCTATTCGTAAAAATTAATGAGGACTTAGATAAAAAAAAAATCATATATATAGTAAGAGTAACAAATTTTATTTTATTTGCCTGATAAGATAAAAAAACATAATCTTTTTCTAGAATATATTATAAAAAAATTATCTAGAATTTAGAATTAGATTAATAGTTTAATACGCTAAGTCATATATTACTTTTGTAAGACAAGGACCTTTGCTTGTATTTTTAATATATTAACATTTTTCTTTAATAGAATCTGTATAATAATTACAATCCGAATAAATGCATTTTGTAGTTGTCAACAGTTGTGATTTTTTTATCGTAACTTTTTGTTAAATTTTTTTTTTTTAAACTAAAAAATATATTTTATTGTTGTTATTTTAGAAAATTGCAACTCTAATAAATATCATCTACGGTTGCATCTTTTTTTTTTTCTATCATTACTCTTCATAAAAATTTGCAACCGTTTAATTGAACTATTGCAACATTTAGTCACATGCAAAAATGCTGCGGACTGAAACAAAATTGAAATAAAATTAATCAAGTCAAATCTAAATCAAGCCAGATTTCTAAATGAATCTAGTACATGTTTTTATTATATTGCACCCGATAAATTGGGCTTTTTGAGTTTAGAAAAGCCCAATAACTGATTGTCGGTTTCTTTTAACGGGATATATGTTTGGGCCTTGGGGGTGGAGAATCATTTTGCGTTGGGATAAGAGAAAAGATGCGTTTTTCCATTCTCTCATCTTTCATCGAAACAAATTTCGCGAATCTGGGACTAAGAGGAAAGGTACGTTTGCCCGTTTTCCATCAGAGATCTGACTATTCTTTTCTGCTAAAATCTCACGAAACCCAGAATTTTTTTTTCTCATTGGATTTGGCGAATCACTACTTTTCATAAAACTGCGGTTCACGGAATCCCTGATTGTGGTTTTGATATAAATTAGGGTTGTGAGTTTTGAGATTTTTAATTGAATCTAATCCTAGTCTTTTCAGAATTTAGGGTTCCAAGAATGTCTGTCGTCTCGTTGCAGCAAGAAGCCTCTAGCCCCCTGAGTCTTACGGTAACTGAATTTCTATTGTGGATCCCCCATAGCATAGATAGGTCTCATGGGAGATTTGCATCAATTCTCATGATACTGTTTTTTTTTTGTAAGGGACTCGTTGATGCTTTACCACCATACCCAGATCAGCTGGAAGGGCAAAGATTCTACCGCAAGGCTCCCGAACCTCAACAAACTTTCTCTCCCGCTCCCTCTTGGCCACCTCGCGATGCAACTGGCTACTTGTTCCCTCCTCAAGGTTACTTGGCCACTAAACAGTTTTCTTACCAGCCGCCCGAACCTCAACAAACTTTCTCTCCCGCTCCCTCTTGGCCACCTCGCGATGCAACTGACTACTTGTTCCCTCCTCAAGATTACTTGGCCATTAAACAGTTTTCTTACCAGCCGCCCGAACCTCAACAAACTTTCTCTCCCGCTCCCTCTTGGCCACCTCGCGATGCAACTGACTACTTGTTCCCTCCTCAAGATTACTTGGCCATTAAACAGTCTTCTTACCAGCCGCCCGAACCTCAACCTTACAACCCAACTTCTCCCAGCCGTTATGACTATTATGGACCACCTGACGCTGATGTTACTGACTATTATGCACCACCTGACCTACCACCTTACAATGATGATGTTGTTGTCTATGAACCCCCTCTCCCCTCCAACCTTGTACCTATGGTAATTTTTGTTTTATGTATACTTTGGGGTTCTTAAGGAGGTACTCCTCCATATATACTTTTATTTTGATTTTGATTTTGATTTTGACTCTCTCCACCAGGATTGTGGATATGAAGGGACTTTTGGTAAAGTTGGACTTCATTGCTACAATCTGCTAAATGTAAATTATCTCTGTCCTTTGTGTCTACCATTATTGGTTTTTGTATATATTTTGTATAAGTTGTTGTTATTTTCATCTTTGCAGGGGACAAACTTTAAATATGTCTGGCTAGACGAGAACCATCTTACCGGATTAATTTATAAGGTTATAAAATTCTATGCAACCGATCCAACTCGCACTTGCGATTTCTTAACTAGGGTGGTTCAGTCTGAGACTGAGAATCAAGGCTGCTTGAGTTTCATTACAATGAAATGCACATTATTGCCAGGTAATTTGTAAACACCGGCCTCTCTTGTTATATTATTATTATATTTATTGCGTCTAATCTTTACCGGTCATGTCCATATACCTCAGAGGAGAATCACTACCCAAGTCGCTTTGACCAACTCGCCGTGGATAAATTCTTCAAAGGTGATATGCCCAACTCGATGCCTGAGAATATCAGTGATAACCTGCAATACTACGAGGTGTGAGCCCCTCCCTCTTTTGTCCCTTAAAGAAGCATGCCTATCTTGAGACTACATAATGTGATATATATGTTGTTGACTTGATTTTGCAGCTCTCAGAGTCGGAGGTGGAAGAATACAAGGATTGGCTTCATCTGTACGTGGATCTCGCTTTGCGCACCAAGTTGCGTTGTTTCCATGTGAGAAAAAACAAAAAAGCAAAGATGAGGAGGGGAATTTGTCTAGATTTAATATTGATCTCATGATGTTGTTGTGTTGCAGGGCTCACCAGTTTGGGGAGAGCCATTTGAGCTGAGAAAGATAATTGTGCAAACCAGAGCAGATGTGGAGTCTAAGAAGAAAGCCAAGGCGGAGAATGCAATCTTCTACATGAACTTCAAAGGCCGTGGCAATCAAGACTGCAATGCTATCATAAGGAGAACAACGGATGGACTGCCACAGCATATGTCGCTTGAAGTCAAGTGTTTGATGTGAAAGCCCACCATTATGCTACTACGTATTTTAAGTATCTTATCGTCCCATTATGTATTAAGAATCTAATCCCATTATGTATTAAGAATCTGATCGATCTACTATTCTACGGTCTTTCTTGAGACTAGTTAATGCTTCGGTTGATGTTTTGCTCCTTCCTTGCTAGTCATGCAAGGTGATAATGACTTTGAATTCCATTTTAGTTCTACATGCTTTGGGTTGAGGAGCACCTTTTTGTGGATTTGTCGTTTATCTCTTTTTGTGGTTTGCATATCTACAGTATTCACCTATAATTATTTTGTTGATTCTCTATCTATGTACTTGTAAGAACAGGTTTCCGTTGTGAGTTTTGCCTCTGTCTTTACATCCATTCATTTGCAATTATATCTACACGTATATCTTCTATACTTGGCGCTACCTCAGCTCTTCTGTTCTTTTCTTTATGCAACATTAACTCTTTAGTTCCTACTTTTTGCAGCTCCATTCTTATTTGAATGCCTAACATAGATTTTCCAGTCTTATCATAAAAATTCAAACATAAGAAACCAACCAGTGTAATGGTTCTTCATACAAAATAATAACAAGTTGGAAAAGACATAAATGTATTTAGAGGCCAATAACGGTTAACTGGATGAACTTGCAATCCCCACCACCCTTAAGAGTTTGGTTGGACCTTTTTAGAGTATATATGAGTCACCCACATGAATCTTCAGAACTTGTTTACACAATAATCATCAAACCCCTGAATAGACAGCCATTAAAATTTTCATTTCTTGTTAGGCGTAGACAAAGACATAGAGAATGCAAAATTCTGGAGATAAGGAAGACATACCATATCGTGGGCGGGTCGTGAAAGGTGGTTGACAAGTGAATTCGGCGCTGAGATGCGAGATGAGTCCTACGAGATTGGATTTAAATCGATCCCAATTCTGGAGATAAGGAAGACATACCATACCACTAGGAGCGACATATACTAGATTTTGCATGATGACATGATTGTTGGGACTATCCACCCAGACACGAGGACGTCCAACAGGGTAAGACTCGTGGAGCCAGATAATGACAGGGACGCTGTAGATTTTTCCATGAACGCTATAAGGGATAACTCCATCTACGTTGATGAGATTGTCGTTAACATGCCCCTCTAGCCAAGGGTAATCTCGTAGTAGGTCAAAGAGATGTTGTCTGATACTCTCCTTAGTGGAGTCATCGTAGAGAAGGCCTTGCCTGGAGAGCAGGTTGGAGATACGAATGTTCACGGCTGGCGGAATCTCTTGTTGAGGAAGATCATGAATTGAATGCAGAGAACTCATCTGATCCGCTTGACGGCACCCATGCGTCCCCGGAAGCTGTATCCCAAATTTCTACAAATAATCACCAAAAGAAAGCAATCAAAATCAAAAGACACAAGCTGTGAATTAAGATTGCCAAAGACACTAACTGAGAGAGGAGATTTAGTATACTTTTCTAGCGGTATCTTTTGCAATCTTGATGAATGCTTCTACACCCCCATCCTTAGTCTTGATGTGTGATGCTAAATCAGGATGTCTTGGGTATCGGCAAGTAATCTAATTAAGCAATTGTTTCAGCAATATTAAGTTCATTTTTTATCTTCTTTCGTGAGAGCACTGATCCAAAATTAATAAGACAGAGAAAAAGAAAAAGTAAACCTGATCGATAAGGGGGTTTGGGTCTCCATTAAAGGCCCATAAAAGAGCATTCAGACCATTATCGATTAGAATCTTTGCCAACTTGGTCTATCAAAAAACGGGATGATCATGAGCATTAAGAAAAGAATTGAGCAACCAATAAAATGAGGAAGTTGTATATACCTTCTCAAGAGATAGTCGTCCATCGAAATTAGGGACAGCGAAAGGTTCTTTACGAGAAAATGCGTCGCTGAGTTGCATGACGAGGTATACCAAGTTGGAACTCTGGCACCAATCCCGAAGATAAGGATGAGTGACTTCACCAGAAGAAGCGACACATTGGTCACATTCGCGAATGATTGTATCGTCTGGGCAATTTACCCATACATTAGGAGGACGGCGAGGGTAAGACTCCAAGAAATAAATGATCACGGGGATGTTGTATCTGTTCCTATCACCATAACAGATCTTTCCATTTGCCTGGAGGAGGTTGTATGAGTCCGTAACCGGCACAATTTTGAGTTGTAGCTGCGGGATAAAATCAAGCACTAGGTCCAACAGATGTTGCAAAATGAACCCCTTGGTATAGTCATCATATGGAAGACCGGAAGATGAGAGCATCTCTAAGGCAGAATTAGAGAACATTCTTCTCGGATCTGAGAGCGGAGAAGACATCGGTGCTAAGGATGAAACAAACTTTCAGGAGAAAAAGATGAAAGCCAAAAGGCTGAATTATCTGCAAAGAAGAAACAAAGAAGAGGTGTCAAGTGGCAAATAAACTTACCATGAAAGAAAACGGAAACTAAACTCACCCTTAAGCCAACAAACAGTCTCTAAAGAGCCCGGGGCAATTATTTCGTTTCATCAAAGGCACAAACGGTAGTCAGATAAAAGCCATGACCAGCACCAAGGCTGGCAAAAAAACTCCTACAACAACCTTCAGAAGCAGAATAATTCCAAAAAAGTTAGTAACTTTCAGTGAACCCATTCGAGACAAGAAGAAGCTAATGGATGGTAGATGCAGAAAAAGGAAGTTAGATAGTTTAGTGAAATGTTCTTTGTTATTAAAGAGCTCTATTTTCTTGCCAACCACATCACTCTATAACTATTATCATGAATCCAACGAACATTTGGGTCTTTTTAAGTAGTAAAGGACATAAAGAATCCAACCCCCACATATAAAAAATAACATAAAAGAATCTATAAATCTTGTGTTCTTCCACCAAATATTTTTGGCATCTAACAACCATTTGCTTTTTTGTATTCAAGATCCTAATTTATTCGGATCCATCAAAAACACGAAAAAAGTTAAAACCCAGAGCCAATAATACCCTATCCTTCAACACTCCAAATTATCCCAAATTTTTTTTACTAAGCTTCCAAATGAAAACGCAGAGACTACGATTAAACAACATTCATGTAACGAAACTATAAAATTTCTAGAATTGGAACTGATTTCAAGCCCTAATACGAGAAAGCGATAGCTAGAAGAAGAAGGAACAAGTGAAGATGCCTGAAAATTTCATCATCCTCGAAAATCAAACCATTTTCTCCGAGCAAAAAGGTAGTAGAGAGATTTTTCCCAGTAGAAATTGAAGAACCCCGTAGTATCAACTTCTCTTCCTCGGAGAATACTCGATTACACGGTGGTGGAGAAGAGCGTTATAGCAGAAGAAGAAGACTGAGAGATGAATGAACCACACAAAAGGGAAAGCAAAAAGAAACTTGAGAGACTTCTTACTTTACCTTTCTCTCTTAACCCTTCACTGTGTTTTTTTTTTTCTTATTTCCTTAAAACACCTTTTTCATTTTACCGTAATTAGGCATGGGCTTTAAAAAGTGATGACTCATCATCATCATATTCATCATAATCTGTCGATATTTTTCTTTACTTGAATGGAAAATTTACTCTTATAGTGACATTACTGCTCGAGTTTCTATAATGTAACATAACTAATAATTTACTAGAAATAATATTCCTTATCAAAATAATCATACCAGAAAGTTACTTATAAAAGATGCAAATGATCGACCAAAATTTTTGATTGATGTTGACTTTAATATATATTATTAGGCTTAGGAATCCAAGACAAAAGACATCATCTTTTAAGTAGACTAGGGTAAAAACCCGCGCTCCGCTGCGGGATATCTTTTATAAATTATTTTTGTTACTAATGACTTTTGCTTAAACTAAGATTATGTAGTACAAAGTTCACAATGAAATTTGTATTTTTTTGGTTTAGACAATGAAAGTTGTCTTCCTTTTTTTGTAATACAAACAAAAGAGTATCCAAACTTGAATTTAAACAATACACAAATACGAAACTTGAATTTAATATAAATATGATTTGTAAAACTTAAATAAAATTTTAGAATTTGATGGTTGACAGATCATTTTCACCACTTCATCTCATTTAAAAACTTTATTTTGAATTTCAAATCAAATAAAACAAATTAATACACAGATATGAGAAGGTGACCGTGACACATTACTTAAGAAATCAATGCACAAAATTCTTCTTCTCTTCATATACCGGCCTTGGATTCATTAACTTCAACATCTTTAGAAAATTGATCTACCTTCATCTTTAATCAACATTAACTAAATTGACCAAACGAACAATAGTGTATATATATGTACGGAAGAAGTGTATAAGCAGAGGTAGATGAGAAATTCCGACAAGTTTTCGGTAGATCCCATGGTACTTGCACAATCTCTCCTTCATTCTTTAGATAGATACAAATACAATTGTGGATGTATTAATATTATACAATTGTCCAACCATCTCAAGAGATTCAATATGCATTACACGCTTGATACTTGATTGATTTAACTATTCCTAAGACCAATAGAATATATTACGTAAAGATCATCTAGGGTCTCACAAGTAACAATACATGCATTCAAACTTTGGGGTAGACAACAATAGTTCCAGACCTAAATTATGACATTTAGGCAAAGTGAAATACACGGGAAACCTGAAGTGTAAGTAAATAAAACATTAATAATTCTAGAATCATTAATCTATATCTCTGTCCACATGAAATATTTTAACAACCATATTTTCCATTAAACGACTGTAAACACTGATAAAATATAGGTAGCACTCCAATATATAAAGTACGCAGCTGTTATTTGCTAATTAAATGATTGATTTCGAGCAATTGTGTACTTTTGAAGTCTTCTTTACACGAGTCTCAACAATAAGTACTACCAATTCAAAACTTCCATAACTAAAATAAGTTGTATAAACCTACCATAACTCCATGTCGATGAAATGCCTACAACACTACCAACAATGACAAGGAAAGAAAGATCTAGATGGTAATGAAAGCAAAAAACAATGTTGGGGAAGGACACTATTTTTTTTTTTTGGTAAAAGGGAAGGACACTATTTGAATCATGTTTGGAAAATAAGATGGTACTCCCAGTACTCTTTAAATCTTAATCAATAACAAATTTTGTCGGTGATTTTTCTGGTAGTTTACGGTGGTTATTAGAGCTCCTTCCGATGGCAAATCGATTCGACAACAAACCTTGTCGGCGAAGGCAAAACAAAAAAATAATCTTCGTCTCTCCACGTTTTCAAAGCAAACAGCGAAGGCACTTTCTTTAAAGAGGTAAACGGCGAGCACCGGCGGTTGGGGTAGGAGTAGCGGCTGAAGGAGTGGAGGAAGAGTGGTGCTGAGAGTGACGACGAGATGAAGGATGGTGGATCTTGATGTTAGGGAGATGTAGATAATCAGATTATGGATTCATGATCTCTTTTTCTTCTTCTTCTCTGCTTGATTCAACAGATTTATAGAAACTTTTTTTTTTTCCGATCGAGAGGAAGATGATGACGAAGAAGAAGAGACAGCCGTGTTTTGTCAATTTTAATTAGTCTCTCCATGTTTTCAACACTACTTTATCAAGTGGGCTTTTACTTTTGGGCTTTATTATTTTATTTTTTTCGTCATACTTTGGGCTTTGTTACTTTTTTTTGTTTTTGTGTGTTCTTAATAATATGAAACAACAGAAAAAAGGGAGAGAAAGAGTGACGTGGCAGAATAGAAGATTATTATTGGCAAATAAAGTTGAGCTGTATTATTTAAAATGTTTTGATTAGAGTTTCTTTTTAATGATGTGTCATAACCAGGAAAGCTGAAAATGCTGATGTGTTAGATTAGGAGAGAATCCAATTGTTATTATTGTATTAATCCTATTGTTATTTTGAAATTTTTTATTTAATATAACTAAATAAAATTTTATAATTTAATGTTTTATTTGTATTTAAATTGTAATTATTTTTACTTCTAGGGATTAGTTTTTTATTTATGTAATTAGACTTTGTAATTATAATTATAGTCTCTATTGCCAATATTAATATCTAATGAAAAGATGATGTTTCAAAAGTAAAATTCTAGTATATTTTTCAGTTAATAATTTATTTTCGTAGCAAAGGTTATTTTTTGAATATTTTCTTTAGTGATTTGCTATATTTAAATAAAATTTTTGAACTTAATGGTTTACCTTTATACCACTCGGAACCAACTAAATAACTTTATTTTTAAAAAACTATCTTTATTTTCAATGCCAGTTTTCAAAAATGTCACATTTTTAAACCTTATAAAAAATGCTCCAAACTATATGAAATTTACCCAAATACATATGTAACATTATTAAAACATATACAAACTATCTTTATATGTATCTAAAATCTTATAAATACCGTATAAAACCTTTAAAAACCTTTAAAGAATATAAATTAATTTATATAATTTAAATCTTATTAATTATTTTATTCTTTTGCAACTTTAAAGAATTAATAATTAGAATTTTCAAAAATCGTATTAGCTAGAGACACTGAATTAATTACCATGTTCAGTTTTGTTTCGTACTTATATTTTGATTAGATATCAATTCTAATGATGTGTTACTCTGAGAATAGCCTAAAAAGCTAATGTATAAACACCATCAATTTTTTTTTAATATTATCCTTTTTATAATAAAAATTTTATATTATCACATATTTTACATATTATCTTTACAAAAATATATAAACTATTTAATTATATATATGATATATTTATTTTTATTATATATATGCAGTCCGCGGGGCAATCCGCCAATCTCCGGCATAACCTGCTAAACCCCGTAATCCGAGTGGGATTGCCCGGAAAATCTACTTTTTAACGGATTTAATATTTTGTGTTCATACCTGGACCGGACTGGGCTAAGCCCACGATTTTAGGGCCATTTTGATATTTCTATGAGAGATGATGATGTGGAAAAAAGAAAGGTTCTTATTGGATATTAAAAATGAGTTGTATTATTTAGAATGTTTTCATTGGTTATTCATTTTAAATGAGGTGTCAACTCCACAAAGCTTAAAAAAGCTGAGGTGTCAACCTCTGGAGAGTTTCAAGAGTTTTTATTGTATTGATTTGTTGACAACGTTGCTCATGTCCACATTCTTTGTTTTGAATTTTGAGGTTAATTAATCATTAATTTTGTATTATCTATCTAACACAATAATAAACACAAGCAACTACAGTAGAACCTCTATAAATTAATACTCGATAAATTAATAAACACGATAAATTAATAAATTTGGCCGGTCCCGAGTCAGGCCATTGTAAAAATTAACCAAATTCGATAAGATAATAAGATAATAATTTTTTTTAAATCTCTATGT